TCTTAGAGATAAAGTGGGGCAAGTAGATCCAGTGAAAATGGCGGGACATTTGAGGGTTAGTGATCACTGTATTGTCAGGTTTAGAGTAACTATGGAAAAGGATAATGAACAATCCAGAATAAAAATAATTAACTGGGGGAAAATCAATACAAATGGAGTCAGAATGGACATTGGTGTCAATGTCTAGCAGGAAAAATAAAACTTTGCAATGCACTACTTTCAAAAGATAAGATGGTTCATGCATAGTCAAGGTATATTCCCAGAATCACAAAGTGATATGGCACAAAAGGAAGCATCAAGCCATTGTGTCTGCAAATAGGCATCATAACTCAATACCATTCTCTTGCCTTTTCTCATTCACTTGCACGTCGATTCTAGTCAAATAATTATCCAATGCCTTCTTGATTGCTTCAACTTAACCTGCCTCCATCACATTTCCAAGCATGGCATTCCAGGTCTGAAGCATCCATTTGTGAAATAAAAATCTCACATCACATTTGCTTCTTCTGCAAATCAGTTTAAATCTGTGACCTCTCAGGAAATATTGGCTAATCAGAGCAATAGTACTGATGTGATGTGCACGGACTTCCAGAAGGCATCTGATAGCATGTTGCATGACAGACATGTGTGCCACATTAAAGCTCATGGAATAAAATAACAGGGTCAAACAGCAACATGGATACAAAACTCTGAGTGACAGGAAGCAGGGAATAATGATTAATGAACGTTCTTTGGACTCAGGGAATGGGTGGATGGGTGGCTGATGATGTTCAATGCACAGAAGTGGGAGGTGATACATTTTGGTAGGACGAGCATGGAGAGACAATATAAAATGAAGAGTACAAATCAAAAAGAAGTGCAGGTACAGAAGAACCTGCATGTATATATATCATTGAAGGTGGTAGGGCATGTTGAGGGAGCTGTTGAAAAAGCACATCCTAGGTTTTACTGATAGGAGCATAGAGTACAATAGCAGAGAGGTTATGTTGGGCTTGTATAAGACACTAGTTTGACTGTGGGGCATTCTGAAGCGGGACAGTGACAAGACAAAGGTCATGGTACATACGGGTACCAACAAGTAGAATGAGGAATGAGGTTTTTGATCAAGAATTTAGGGAGCTAGGACATAGACTAAACAGCAGGACCTTAAAGTTGGTAATCTCTGGATTACTCCTGGTGTCACATTCTTGTGAATACAGAAACAGGAGAAAAAGCCAGTTGAATGCATGGCTCAAGAGTTGGTACAGGAAGGGAGGTCTTAGATTCCTGGATCACTGGGAAGGTTTATGGAGAAGGTGGGACCTGTACAAGTGGGATTGGATTGCACCTGAATCAGAATGTGACCATCATCCGTGTGGGTGGGTTTGCTAGTCCAATTGGGAGGAATTTAACCTAATGCAGCAGGGGGAAGGGACACAGAGTGTTAACATATAAGGAACACCACGTACTTTAGTAAAAGGGCCGAGACAGAGGGAATTCAGCAGTGTTAAGTTTCGAGGAAGTAATGTCAGGCTGGATGACTTCTACTTTGCTGCTAGGGGTAATATAGGTAAGACAGATAAGTTAAAAATATTGGAATGACCTCTAGTTTGCTGCTATGAGTATTATAGGTAAGACAGATAAACTAAAAGTATTGTTTGGCACATGGAATTGCAATGTTGTTGTCGTCATAGAGATATGGTTGAGGGAGAGGGTATAGGATCTCTAGGCAGGACAAGGAAGGGTGTAAAACCTTCCCAGTGATCCAGGAATCTAAGACCTCCCCTCCTGCACCAACTCTTGAGCCATGCATTCATCTGGCTTTTTCTCCTGTTTCTGTATTCACAAGCATGTGACACCAGGAGTAATCCAGAGATTACCAACTTTAAGGTGCTGCTGTTTAGTCTATGTCCTAGCTCCCTAAATTCTTGATCAAAAACCTCATTCCTCATTCTACCTATATTGTTGGTGCCCGTATGTACCATGACCTTCGTCTTGTCACTGTCCCGCTATTAATTAAGGAGTCACAATATTAATTAAGGAGTCAGTTAGTGCAGTAAGGAGAGATAATATCTTGGAAAGGTCTTCAAATGAGTTTTTGAGAGTAGAGAGGTAGGAATTAAAAAGGGCAGTCACACTGCTGGGACTGTATTATGGGCCCCAAACAGCCAGTGTGCAATAGAGCAGATATTTAGACAATTCACTGATGTGTGTAAAAACAATAATAAAGTGATTAAATGAGTGGATTTCATCTTCCTCAACATTAATTTGGAAAGTTTTAATGTAAAAGGTTTAGTGGAGATAGATTTCTTGAAATGTATTCAGGAGAGCTTTGTATATCAACATATAGATTGGTCCAACAAGGACAGTATTCAAGGTGGTAGTGGGATAGCATTTTAACGATATAGAGCACAACACCACATATTTTGTAATAGGAAAAGAAAAGGATGGTCTGCAAAAAAGGATTTTTAATTGGGGGAAGGTAGATTTTATTAAAATAAGACAGGATGTGGCCAAAATAGACTAGGAACAGTTACTTCTCGATAAATCTACAGGTGCAAAGTGGGCGACATTCAAAATGGAATTGTTGGAAGTATAAACTCAACATGTTCTCTTTAGGGTGAAATGTGGGAGTAACAAGCCAGAGAACCGTGGATGCCTAGGAATGTTCAGGACTGGATAAGAAAGAAAATAGAGGCCTTTAACGAGTATAAAGGAAGCAAATCATTGGAGGCCTAATGAAGTACAGAAAGCACAAGGGGGGATCTTAAGAAAGCAATAAGGAGAGCAAAGAGGAGCATGAAAAAAATTGACAAATAAGATTAGGGAGAATCCCAAGATATTTGATAAGTGTTTCAAGGGGAAGAGGATAACCATTGAAAGAGTTGGGCCTATTAGGACCAAGGGGGTAATCTGTGCATGGAACTGGAGGACATTGGCAGGCTATTAAATGAGTAATTCACATTTATTTTCAGTTTGCAGAAGGAGGATGTAGGTAGAGAATTCAGGAAGAGTCGCTGTGAGTTTCTTGAACAGTTTGACATAGGAAGTGAGCAGGTATTAGAGGTTTTGGTGGGCTTAATGGTGGTGAAATACCCAGGTCCAGATGAGATGTATCCCAGGCTGCTATGGGAGACAAGGGAGGAAATTACAAGGGCTCTGACCCAAATTTTTAGTTCATCTCTGGCCACAGGTAAGGTGCCAGAGTACTAAAGATGGCTAATCTGGTTCCAATTTTCAAGAGGGTGGTAAAGATAAACCAGGCAATTACAGATCAGTGAGTCTCAAGTCAGTGGTAGGGAAACTACTGGAGAAAAATCTGAAGAAAAGAATTAGTCTCCACTTGTTTTGATCTGGAATAGTCAACATGGCTTTGTCAGAGGGAGGTCATGCCAAACAAATTTGAATGAATTTTTCAAGGAGGTGAATAAGTTTGTAGATATGATTGATGCAGTTGATATGGTTTATATAGATTTTAGCAAGCCTTTGACAAGGTCACATATGGGACACTGATATAGAAGATAAAAGCATATGGGATCCAGGGTAATTTGGCAAGTTGGATCTAAAATTGGCTTAGTGATTGGAGACAGACAATGGATGTAGAAGGCTGTTAGTGTGACTGGAGGCCAATGTCCAGTGATGGACCACTAGGATCAGTGTTGGGTCTCTTATTGTTTGTGACATATGTAAACAATGTGGAAAAAAATGTGGAAGGAATGATAAGTAAGTTTGCAGATGACATAAGATTGGTCAGGTTGTTATTAGTCAGGAAGAAGGTCTTAGATTACAGAAGGATATAGACAGAATGATCAGATGGGTTTGGATGAGCACTTGAAATGTTATAACATTCAAGCCTGTGAGCCAAGTGCTGGAAAGTGGGACTAGAGTAGATTTTGATTAGTATTTGTTAGTCCAAACTTGATGGGCTGAAGTATGATTCCGTTATTCTATAATACTGTAGCACTTCCATCAGTACTGCCTCATATGACAACCCAGAAAATGCACTCAAATATCTGAAGTGATACTTGAACCCACAACTTTCTGACATTGAAAGCAAATTGCATTTTACAATGTGAGATGAATGTACAGACTAAAGTCATGACAATAGAAGACAATATTTGTAATTTGGGAAGGTTATATGCTCATTTGTTTTCCCTAGGAAAGTACTTGATGGCATTTGTTCAATGTGGCAATCCTGAAATCCAAAATTTCTTCTGTAAGGGGTTAGAATGTAAAAATGTCATGTTTTGCCATGAATTCACCCAAATTTGTAAGGATTTTACACTTGCAGTTGAATTAATTAATTAATACAAAGTATATTTTAATTCTAATATCAACGCATACATGATTGCATGTTTAACAATAAAATTGTTTGGTTGAGTAGCTATTACAATATTATTTAGAAATGAACAGATTTCTTTCAGTAACCCACTTGATGTTGGATTGGTGTTGCATCATCTATGGTGATAATAGATTCATGTGTCTTTGTTATTGTCAGTATTTAATCGGATGTTCCTGCAACCAGAAGGGTTTCAGAAGGAGAAAATTGGCAACAGAAGATGAATTCCAACTCACACTAAGAAAAGAAAGAAAAGATTATCAATCTTCAATGAAGAAAATTCACTGTTCAGATGAGAACATGAACAAAGTTAGGAATTGATGTGTTCTATACTGATCTCATGATTAAAGGTTCATTAATTTTGCTGGCGGTGAGGAAGGGGAGTGAGAATTGTCAAACATTGGTGAATCTTCTATTATAATAATCTCAAACTGAGGCCCAGATTACATTTAAAGCCTTTTTTTTCTAAAAGTGCATTTCTAATCAGTTCAAACTGACCACTGAATATCTCAGTAGCAAACAGTTCATATCAAATAGATTCAACAAAGACATGGACGTTTATTACCTTAAGGATCTTCTTGCACATCCCATCTTCACAATCCCATGCACGAATCTATGAGAACAAGGTGAGAGGGAGTCAGCCTTACTGTCTATGAACAACAAGAATTCCAACACAAGTCAATCACTTCATGTTCACCATCTCATCTCCTGCTGCTGTCGCCAGAAGAATTGCATCTCTGGAGAATGATAGAGCCATCACCCGGGCACTGTGCTCCTTCAGAATAAAGATCAGGTGTCCATTCCTTGAATCCCATACACGTACAGTCTTGTCCCAGGAACCTGAAGCCTATGAAGCAATCTGAAGTTAGATCTAACAGAACAAATGTTTTGAGAAATAATTTGTAAAATTCTCATTTGGTAGTACAGATCTTGAGTATTGTTGATAAGAGATACACCGTCAAAGCAGTTTACATCTTGCTCTCATCAGGACAAAATCACAGGAATGCCAAATCTCAGAGGGGGCAGCAATTTATACTGAGTGAGAAGAAGGTACTGATTGATTGGCAGCTTGACTCTGCATCAGGGAATGGCTGCTCCCCAAGAAAGTTGAAAAGGCACAATGCGGACATGTTTATTCTGTTTATAAAGAATAGGAGTCCTGTGTCTGAATATTTTCTAGCACACTTAAGTGAACCACACAATGACCCCAACTGATTAATATTAAGTCAGAAGTCAGATGACACCAGTTTATAGTCCAAAATGTTTATTTGAAATCACAAGCTCTGAAAGTTTGTGATTTCAAATAAACCTGTTGGACTATAACCAGGTGACGTGTGATTTCTGACTTTATCCACCCCAGTCCAACACTGGCACCTCCACATCATGATTAATATTAAGTTGGTTGTTAGTGTAATTGTTATCAAAATTTGAATTGTTTGGCATGTGTGGCCCAATTGAAAATCACATCTTGGCTGAAATTTAATGGCAAGCATCTTAAGTGGTGTCACAATACCAGGAGCGTGTAATCTCATGTGAATTTGTGCTTTTCACTTCATTACCTATACAAAAAAAAATGTTGTGTGGGTGACTTGATGAATCACATGTGATGAACAAGGAAATTCTTGCCACTTGTGGGACATTTTGGTGTTAAACATTCTGGCACCATAATTAAAGACCAGTGGATACCTCTTCATTCTCTGGGAGTCACTGGGTGATGGTTGGCCCCAGCAGCCAAGAAATGCCTGTGAAACAGCAAACACTGGCAGCCAAGGGCAGAGAAACTGCCTGGAACTGCTGCTGACTGGTGTCATTGACAGAGATGACATCCTCTTCTCCAAGAACCCATCCCATCAAACCTGTCTGGCCTGATAGCAGCACAGCAGTGTCAATGGCTCTCACAAGTGGGACTGCAAGCATTACAGAAAGAAAATTATTGATCTACTGCATTCCGCAAGGTTGGGGGACACTATCTTCACTGTTCCTTCACATTCACAAGAGCATCGCTCAGTCTAACTCTATCCCTGTCCAGTCATCTCACAAATAGCCATGGACTGTGAGCCTCAGCATTACATGAAGGATGTGCACTCAAATGATCATGTCCATCTCATGCTCTCAAATATCAATCCTTCCTGAGCACTGTACTTCCTACTCACTGGGGACACCTCACCACTTTCAAAGCTATGCAGTCTCACAAATTGCACATACATCCATTCTTGTCACACTCAATCCTTCCTTTTATCTCAGCGCAGGACAATCTGACACAATCATGTAGAGAAGTCCCAAACGTCGAGATCCTCACTCACTTTGAGGAAGAGATTATCCAGCTGGTGGAAAGACCTGGACCATTGCTGTGGGGTGGAGAGACATTAATAAACCACCAACCTAATAAGCAACCCTGCACTCTGCTCTTTCTGGGATGAGCATAAAGCCAGGCACATTGTCCTGTATAATCTATTCTGCACCTTCACCAACTAATTCTCTTTCTTCTCTTCTGCAGGCGTCAGCACCAAGTTCAGCACAATAAGTCATAGCCTGTGATTCTCCATACCAACACCACATCTGAGGATTTGAACTTTTGACATACTAAAAAGCTGTTCACCTGCACCCTTCAGCAGCACAGAGATTATCATTTCAGTGGGTCCAGTGGCTGGATTAGACTTGGGGGCACAGTCTGGTGATCACATCAGTGACGCACGTCCAAATCTCATGGAAGAAGAAACATCTGCAGCCTCTGATATTCACAGACCAAGCACTAGCTGAGTCCCACGTAGAATGTTCTCGTGTACTCAGTTATTAGTAATCCACAGACACAGTCAAAGGACCATATGTCCCTGTGTCAGGGCCCCTCAATCAGCTGAAATCAAAGGTATGGAGGATTTAAATCATGTTTTCAGGTGGTTCTGGCAGGCAAGCGCCTGGTGTTTCCATGGAAAGCTAGCAGCCACCTCAGAGACACAAGTCCAACAGAATTCTCAATGTCTGCTGAATATGTGCTTGGACCTGCACTTATCGCTCTGACCATGAGAGTTCAGCATCAAAAGCAAAGCCAAAAGAGGGATTAGGCACCTTCTCCTCACTCCGAGTGCCCCTTCTTCTCAAGGAGATAGGGTAGTGCCAGTGGGCACCTACAGCGAGGACGACTGGCTGACAGGAACACCAGAAGCTTCATCCTAGGGCACATCTCCTCCACCCGTTTAACAATTTATTGTAACGATGGAGCTGGATTAAGGGAACGGATCTACACTTTTCAGCCTATGGTAGTGCCAGCATTAACAAAAAGGATGCTCAGACATTGCAAGTGTTCAATAAAGGATCATTCCATCCTGAAGTACAGCAGGGAGAGTGAGGGACTAAGGTACAAAAGGAACAGTCTCAGGATGCGGGGTAGCATATTTCATCAGGAGTGGCCTCCCTGCTGTGACTCATTAATCTGACATAAGGACCATTTCAACTCAAATATGTGGGTGCACAGTCACAGAAGTGCCCAGTATCACAGCTGCTTTAGCACTAACTTTGGCCCAGGGCAAGATTTATTCATGTGTTTTAGCTTTTACAAAGGTGGGGGGGTCAGATTCACAGCTGAAAGGAGAAATTAAAAATTTTATTGTACAGATAAGTCAAATTGAAAACAAACTCAACTCCTTTAGGAATTTGGTATGTACAGCAAGCGAAGCACTGATAATCAACCATACAACTGAAATATTAGCAGGGACAGAAACCCCAGCTAAGTCTTCCTGGAAGCAAGTGGCTCTAAGGTTCACCATTGCCTTGTCCTCCTCTCTGATGAAATTTATCCTGGTCCATCTCAGGCAGAAGAAATATGTCGGTAGGAAAGGGATTTCTGTTTAGTTTTCAATTTCCTTGGAAAACTTTGTTTATTTTCTAATCAGCTTATTCAGAGATGTTATTACATGGAGGTATTATTACACTGTTTAGGTGTGAATTGAAAGCAGATGGTTATTATTGATTAATCATGGGATTCCTCATATTGGAGTAGCCATTTGGTGGCCTTACAATCTGACCATGAACTCCACCCACTTTCAGAAAAAACATTACTCATTCCACCCACTTCTGTCAAAATCAAAAATTACTGCACAGTTAATTTTCAAATTACTATGGTGAGGTTTAAAATTTATGTTTGCTCCAGTGATTGGGAAAAGGAAGTTAGTTCTGGTAGTTTGTATAATTAACAAGATGCAAATCAATGCTGATCATCTCTTTGGCACCAACTGCTGAGAAAGTAGTCCCATCACCTCAGGATGGCAGATTTAATTACAAATATTTACATCAACAGGAAGAATCTGATTTTTGGACTTTCGCCCAATTAAGTTATCACAACACTTTAGGGAGTGGAATATACTCTGTGTTCTGCAATCACTTTATTCTTGTTTCCACTTGGTGTTTACAAATAACCTTTCCAACATTGGTCATCACAAGTATGGACCAATCTGACTTCTTTCAAGCGTTCACCCAGGAGAGTTGAGGGAAATTGTAGGATTTGTAATATTAATCTGACTAAGATCAAGTAACTTAGTTTGGACTAAAAAAACTAAGAACTGATTTTGCAGTAGTTTTTAACAGCAAACTTTTAACATTTGATATCATTACCCCTCTGAAATTATTGAGCATAATTTGAGATCAAATGTAAGCATTGTTTAATACAGAAAGCCTGCAGTGGCAGCCTGTCATTCATTTCTCAGTCACAGGCTTATCTCCTTCTGTATGCCAGACTGTCAGAAGCCTATCATCAGTGAATAAAATTCATCAGGTGAGAACAACTCTACTTCCACTCTCACATTATTTTAGATGGTCTGTTTTCAATCAGGTAACTGACTTAATAATTACTGCTGGACAATAGAGTCAATCTGGAAAAATTACTTTTATATTCGTGGAATGTAAGTAAACATCTCAATTGTGATCAATTTTTAAAATATTTTTGATTGTTTCTCATGATATTTCAATGTTTACCTACAGCCCATGTGTATGTCTCAATCTTAACTTTGTTCTATTTAACATTTTTGCTGATGATTTGATTTTTGCACTTCTCATTCCCAATTGCTGTCTGTGAGAATTCTTTAGTGGAATTAACCACTTGGACAATGTGATAACATTACTGCAGTTCCATCCTGGAATGCCCATTACAGAACTACAATCCACTGCAAGTGAGAAATGTAAAATTCTTTTCATAGTTCTCTTAGCAAGGCTTTAGGTCAATAGCGAATGCCCTTTCTTTGCCGTTCTAACCAGATCAACCCCTAGTTCACGTGCCTCAATTATCATACCACATGGTGGATCCAGCTGTTGAGGTAATAGTCGTTTCTATATTTCCATTTCTGTTTCACTTCTACAGTCAGCTTACCAGCATCCCAAAAGCATAAAATGCGACACAGCTCACATTGCCCTTGTGGCCATGCAAAACTAATTCTTGTCTCATTTTCCATATCTTTCACACTCTGACTGTACAATCCCAGGATCCAGTGGCCTACACAAACAGAACAACACCTTGTTCAAGGGAATCTCTAAGATCCAACAGTAAATCCATGTCCTGATTTTACAAGAACAGATGTAGTTAACAATCTGGCAGTTTCAAAATATATTTCTCACCAAAAACATTCAATACTTTAATTAATAATATTACCATTTGGTCTTTCGGGAGCACCTTAAAATGTCCTTATCAATTTCAATGTACTTAATTGTATTTTCTTCATATTACGATGTGTTGAATTGTAACTTTTTCATATTCCAATGTTCTTGCTTTTTCCCCATGTCAATTCTGTGCCCTAGATGTGGTTCCTGAGGTTCACTCATCCTCCGTTACCTCACCCATTTTCACAGGTGGGTACAGAT